ATTATTATTATTATTATTATTATTATTATTATTATTATTATTATTATTATTATTATTATTATTATTATTATTATTATCATTATCATTATTATAATTATCATTATTATTATTAATTAATTAATTAATTAATTATTTATTTATTTATTTTTATTTTTTTAGATTTTCAAGAAATCCCAGGCAATCTATCATACAGTGAATTACACTTCTTTTCACAATATCAAGATATACAATACCAAGGATCGGCCAAGAATTTCGCGTGGTTGACTGGTGAGTATATATATATATAATTTATATAATTTACGTAATATATCAACAATAGAGTAACATACAAACATATTGTACAATTAGGTCCTGGCATTTATCATGGCAGTCTTGTTTTTGGGTCCCAAGACCATGTGATTGATAGCGCAAAATTGTTACCGTATGTATTGCTTGTATGCTTTAGCATCTATTGGCAAATCAAACTAAATGCGTTATTTATTATTCGATTAGATACCCTTCAATACCGTCAGAAAATGATCCATCTACTTTGATCACCGAATGTCCTTTGTCGATTGCTCTTACCGAATTTCACTTCATTTTACTGTATAAAGAACGCGTTAGAGCTATTTGCCTGTTGAACGATCAAATAGTTTATGAAGAGATCATTCCACTCGTAAGTGTCCTTAGAATAATGTTATAGAATTCTTTATTTTCGGTTTTCCCATATTGAAATCAAAAATATCCGCTCTTTGGTCATCATTAGAAAGCGGGAGAGGTGGTTAGAAGTATGGCCGTAGATAGTGTTAAAAATACGTTCTGGATTTACACGGATTGTTCCATATTTGAGCTTATCGTAACCAAGGAAGACAGAGATGTATGGAAGTTATATCTAGAAAAACAACAATTTGATAACGCGCTACTATATTGCAAGGTTATTATTTAAGATAATTTATATTTTATCATTAATTATGCACTTTATATATAATCCCATTAACTAATTTATTGTTATATCCTAGAATCCTGCTCAACGCGATGAAGTTCTTATTACCCAGGCAGATCATTACTTTTCCCAAGGTCGATTCCTTTTGTCAGCAAATTATTATGCTCAATCCACCGTTCCCTTTGAAGAAGTCGCGCTTAAATTTGTAGAACGTGATGAAAGAGATGCATTAAGAAACTATTTATTGATTAAATTGGAAAAACTTCGACGCTCAGTAAGATAAAATGACTTCAGCTTATTATCATTTTATTATTATTTAGATAAATAAATTTTTTTTAATTCGGCATAAATAGGACTTGACACAGAAAACAATGATTGCTACTTGGCTCGTCGAAATATATCTTAGTAAGATTAACATGTATGAGGATTTAACAGCATCGGGTGCTGGCACCGAAGACACTAGTAATTATAAAGCTGAACAAGGAGCTTTAGAAGAAGAATTTAAAAAATTTCTAGAACAATTCAAGGTATCAAAGCTTATTTACGAATAATGGTTTTAGATTTTATACAAATATGGGGGTGAGTCAATAGAAACGCACCAAATCTTTTTTAATAAAATTTTTTTAAATTTTAAACAAATATAACTTAACAAAAACTTGATCAAATCTAGTAAATTTTTTTTTAAATAATTTCTATAAGTTATTAGAATTATTTTAAAAAAATTTTTATTAAATTTGATTAAATTATTGTTAAGTTATTTTTGTTCAAAGTTTTAAAAAAATTTACTTAGAAAAAATTTGGTGCGTTTCTATTGACTCACTCCCATATGTTTACATTTATTAATCCATTTTCTATATTTCAGGCAAATCTAGACAAGCGAACAACTTACAACCTTATTGCTAGCCATGGACGTACAGGAGAGCTCTTGTTTTATGCTTCATTAATTGGCGATTACGATAAAGTAATATCTCATTGGATTCAGGAAAAAGATTATAAGCAAGCTTTGGATATTCTTAGTAAACAAGTATCTGTCATTATTATTGTGTTGTGTTCCAATTCATGATAGTTTACAAATGTTGATTAATACCTACGATTTTCTAGGCATCAATTGATCTTTATTATAAATTTGCACCAATTTTAATGGAAAATGCACCATATGACACTGTTAATGTCTGGATGAGACAACCAAATCTCAATCCCAGAAACTTAATGCCTGCATTATTGAAATATGATCACTCAAAAGCCCCAGAAGATACTACTCAAGTACGTATTTATATTTTCAATAGTTCAAATTGCAATGTCTTTTTTAACTTTGGATATTCCAATTTGTCACAGAATCAGGCTATAAGATATTTGCACTATGTAGTAACTCAACTTAATAACACTGATCCAGCAATTCACAATTTTCTTCTTACATTGTTTGCCACACAACCTACATCAAATAATGACGAATCTTCTCTGCTGAAATTTTTGGCGACAGAAGTATGTCTGACTATTTTTGATATCCAAATTAAAATTTTATGTTAATAAAAATTTAATTATCAGGGAAAGGAACCTTATTATAACATGGATTATGCATTACGACTTTGTAGTCAGAATGGAAAGACACAAAGTTGTGTACATATTTATAGCAATATGGGTCTTTTTGAGGAGGCTGTTGACCTTGCTTTAAAGGTATGACATTTATGCAATTTAATTACCTTAAAATGACATTTTGTAATTATCCGAGAAGTTTAATATATATTACGTAGCATAATGATTTGGAACTTGCGAGAATCAATGCTGACAAACCAGATGATGATGAACCATTGCGTAAAAAGCTATGGCTAAAGATTGCACGACACGTGGTTGAAAAAAAACAGGATATTAAAATGTATGTTTTTTTTTCTTTCTTTCAAAAAATAACGATTTACTATCGATTTTTTAATAATGATTTACATTTTTTTTTTGATATTAGGGCAATGGATTATTTGCAGCATTGTGAGCTACTTAAAATCGAAGATATTTTGCCCTTTTTCCCTGATTTTGTTCTAATTGATAATTTCAAGGTTTTTATTCTCTTGTATTATTAGTTGGATTTTTTTTTTTTTTTTTGTTATTTTGTCATTTATAACAATCCATCGTTTTAATTTTTAAGAATGAAATATGTTCCGCTCTTGAAGAGTACAATACGCACATCGAAGACTTAAAATCAGAAATGGATGAGGCAACAAAAAGTGCAGAAAGCATCCGATTAGATATACGAGAGTTGCGAAGTCGGTGGGTTTATGCCCTTTATTTGCATGCACGTTTCTTTACCTTTTCTGTTACTAAAAAGACATAATTTGATAGATTTGCAATAGTTACATCTGGAGAGAAATGTTCGTTATGCGATTCTCCACTCTTGACAAGGCAATTTTATATATTTCCATGTCAACATGCTTTTCATGCAGATTGTTTGATCCAAGAGGTAAGAATGTATATATTATTTTATTACTATTCAGTCTTTCTATCTTTGACACCTTGATTCTTGTTAGGTTACAAAGCATCTTAGTGCAGGCCAACTTCGCAAAATCTTAGATCTCCAAGATCAAATAGCGAAGGAAATATCTAACTTTAATCGTGCGCCCGACAATACAGCACGTGAGCGCCATGGCTTTGCACCTGGAGGTCTAGATCGGTTAAGGGGATTAATATTACCAGATGTTGCTGCACCTAGTGGTGATGATGTAGCTGTAGTCGTATCAAAAGTTGATCAATTGAAGGTATATAAATTATCTTTCCTTAATGTATAATTATATATGCTTTGTACTTACTAAAATCGGTTTTATTACATAAATAAAGGATGAATTGGATGACTATGTAGCCTCGGAATGTGTTTTGTGCGGTGATATGATGATCAAGACTATCGAAATGCCTTTTATTAACGATGAAGAAAGTGATCTGCTATTATCATGGGCTATCTGATTTAAAAACTTTTTTTTCCTTTGTATTTTTATTTCCCTCTTTTGATAAAAATTAAACTAGCTTGTTGAATTTCATGTTATGTATTATTATATGGCCATGCAATTAATTTTTTGGGCTTCATAACCGGCACGATTATTTTCGCAAATTTATATTTATAATGCCCCGTTGAAATTTTTTAGCATTTTTTACATTTTTAGCGGTTAGATTAAAGTCAAGTTGCCGGTTTTATGAAAACCAAAAATTTATTTGCACGAATGAGATTAAATAAATGTACTAATGTAAATGTCCGAGATCATGTGGTTGGCGTAACGTATGAGTTATAGTTTTTTTTTTCCTGCTTACGCTAAATATGTTTCAATGCGTTACAAGATCGTTCCAATGCAAAACTCGTCCCAGAGCTTCTTAACAAACAGTCTTTTACAAGCTAAATAAGAACGTACTTTCTAGAGATTCAAACAGGATCTTATTTTTTCTTTTATTTTTTTGGAAAAGATTAAAGAATTTATAATAAACTTTGAATCAATGGTTTAAAATTATTTTTTACTATAAAATTCGGTGTAAATGAATTAAAGCTAAATTTCTAAATAACTTTCATAATTTTACAAATTTGATACATTTTAGAATTATTATAATCTTTCAAGAGGTTTATATGATGCTTGCGAAAATGTATAATAGTTAAACAAATTCTCTCTCATACAGAAGACAAAGAGTCTTCCATATTTTTCAAACTTGCAAGCAAAGGACGCATTCTGATTTCTACTGCTTCTTCTATACCAGAATACTCAAGAGCCTGTTTAAGATGAAAAATTATCACTAATAGCAATAAAATTATAAATACACCGGTCTCGTCACATAAATCTTACCCTATTAATAAACTTCATCACGAAATCTAAATATATATAGTTAAAGTTTACAGGACTTGTCACAGTATTGGTTTTGGGTTTAGTAATATGTTCGCATAATCTTAATCCAACTTCAACTAACGCTGTTGCAAAATTTTCAACATTTTTAAGATTTTGTTGATATTCTTCATTGTCAATTGTAAATGTGATATCTTGCCCATATGTGTCTTGTACAGTAATTAATTGATGTAGAATATGATTAATGTTATTGCAAATATGCATCATTCGGACTTCGACGCATCGAACTTTACTTTCCATTTTATCTATTTGAGATAATGATAGATTGACATAAAAAGTGGCGAGAACAAGACTTGACAAAATGAGTTCGCTATTTGGAGATCCAATTAATTCGACGGTGTAACTTGTAATCTTTATACAGCTCATAATGTTTTCCATAATCTTAAAGGTATTTCGAGTAAATATGTTAAAAATACACGTCTAAAGAATATAACAAATAATGATCTCGGATTAATTCGAATATACCTTCGTGGTTCTTATGTCATCTACACTTGTGTGGCCATATTTATTCATTTCATTAATCATAATGGTAGTACAATTGAAAGCCAAACCAAATAGCCATTGTCTCATCGCATGAAACCAATTATCCTCAACAGGGAATCCCAGGGCCTTCCATGATAACCCTGACTGTTGCAAAACTTCACCATATAAAGATTTCTTGAATTCCAAAACTTCAAGAACTCTTTGCAAGTTACATCCAATATCTTTGTTTTGAGGATATTCAGAATTAGCAGTTGCTTTCATGTCTTCAACGATTTCAACATATTGAACAATATTCTCCACATTCTTTCCCAAAATTTGCCATTGGGGGAAAATTTGCTATGAAAAAACACGTGATCAGAATACAATTTTATTATTACAACCTCATTTTTACGGACATTAATTGGGTTGATCAACCAATTTATGATGGAAATGTGCCACTTGCTTACAGAATGGTCTAAGGATTTGACTTACTATGAAAGGTTTACAATAGTCGCATCTCAGCCATTCAGCATTACTCAATAATCTGTCAATTAAAGACATAATATCATCAAAAGCTTGAGGAATTGAATTATGAAGAATTGTAAGTGCTGATTCAATATCGCAAATTCGCTCCTGAAACCGCGATTGAAATTCTTGTAAAGACAAATTTCTTTTCTGTGCCTGTAATTCAATCCAATCAGCCATCGTAATATTCCAATTACAAGAATTATCGTCAGGATTTGATAATATACGACGTAATGATTGTATCCTAGCAGGTTCGTGAACCAGCTTTGTATCATTGTCAACCAATTCGCTAGAATTATTATCAATCATCATATCCATATCTAAAGAATTATTAACGAGTTTCTTTGCACGTTTGCTGTCAAAGAGTCGACTGGTAAAACTTTTGATATTGCGTTGAGGTAAAGATGACAAACTGAATGATGAACGTGTTATTTCATGAGTGTTCAAAGAAGCAAATGTATTCGATAATCCATCATCATCATCATCATCATCATTTGTTTCATCTTCTGAAAATGAAAGACTTCTAGCCAATCTTGAAGACAATGACTTTGAGATTTTTTGACATTTGTATTTACGTTGATTATCATCGTCGCGTTTTCGTTTAAGGGGTGATAAACTACCAAAGGAACCTTCAAATTCCTCCAACATCATAGGTTCAGCTATAAGCCGAACAATATAAAATTAAATATTGTTAATTATTAGCATAATAACTGATTTAAAAAATCTGAAAATGAGATTGCATACAGGCAGATAATCTTTTCACTCTTTGGTCAGCTTCAGAGCTTCCGAGTTTTATTGACATACCATTATTGTCTAGCAAAATGTTCTCTAGCGTTTAAATTTAAAAAAAGTAATAGTTAACACATAAATAATGAAGCAGTGAAATAATAATGAACGATATAATAATAGATAATAAAATATACCGAGTGCAGTTAGTAAAGTGTTTATAGCGTTTTCCCAAATTTCTCGCGAAGACGATCGAACTTCATCGAGTTTCATTGTGGTAGATTGTTCATTTGAATGCATAGCATTCCTAAATTGAAAGGTGGTGGGCATTTCTTTAGTCATCCGCATCTTCTTCTTCTATAATGTCTTCGTTGTCGTCTTGAAAATCAACTAAGACGACGCAGGTAATGAACAAACCAATGCTAACTGCAAAAATAAGTAAAAGAAATTGAGGCTGTAAAAGTTTTTTACTGGCTTTCAAATAAAGCTTCGGATACGAAGGCGGGAGGGATGGAGAAGCCGAAACCGGCAGGATCATGACTATCGAACTTTTGTCGAGAGTCAAATTTGAACGTCATGAATCCTTCGTGACATTTTATAAAAATTGGGTTTACATATATTTCACGTGATGACACAATCCAAAGATTGAATTCCGACGCGTCTTTTTTGATCACATGTCTATATAGATACTCCGTATTCGCATCTCCGACTGTGTAGTATAAAGGTAATAGGGTAACATTTTTTGATTGAATCAATCATAATTTCTACAGTAGTAAAACAAGCATTGGACAGATAAGATATCCGATTTTTCTATTATTAGCGTTAGCATTACAAATTAGTAAATATAAAATTCCTCTTACAATTATGTAATTTTTATATGCGCTATATGTATGTATCGTGTGATTTTACGCTAGAAACAGGTTATAGAAAAACTTTTAACAGAAAATTACGTATGTAGTAAAGTATGTCTCATAAAAAGAATCTCTAGATTTGAATGAATTATCGGTACTACTTAGAATTTACCATTGCATAAGGAAAATATACCTGCAGACAATAGACGTGTTATCGAATACGTCATCAGATTTTTCAGGGGTAGATAAATAAATATAAACAAAAAAACCACGATCACGACAAAATAAAAAATGTCTTTTACCAAGATAGCTCAACCTTTCTCAGGGTCTCGTCTTTTATTGAAGCATCAGAGGCTTCACCATTTATCAGGGGCTTCTTCTTTCATCAGGGGCTTCGCCTTTCATCGGAGGTTTCGCCCTTCGCTAGGAGTTTCTCTTTTTGCCAGGGGTTCCGTCTTTCACTGGGGCTTCGCAATTTCACCAGGGGGTTTCGTCTTTCGTACTTTTCCGAGCTCAGGTTTCACCTTTCGCTATTTACATAAAATAATTTCACCTTACGACTATACAAAGCATTATATTCCAAAATCGGGTGAAGTTTTGGATTTTCTTAATAGACATTATCAGTTTCCTAGGAAAACTAATAATGATAAAGTGTTGAAAATTAAATGTCCAAAATGTCGTCCAAGAAAATCAAACTTTTTCTCCATAGAAATTAATGTGAATGATGGTACATATCGATGTAATGAATGTATGACGAAAGGAACTTGGAAGGATTATATGCAATTGATAACCAAAACTAGTACTTTTCAAGTCATTAATTCAACACAAATGGGAATAGGTTGTCCATCCTATTTGTCAAATCCTGAAGAAATAGAGCAGTATTCAAATGAATTGCAAAATCATCCTAAAGTTATTGAAAAGTTTGAGAATGATCATGGTATAAATTTAACGACGCTGCTTGCCTACAAAATAGGAATTGCTAAGTATTACAATATAAAGCCTAAATCATCAATAGATTTTATTGATCAGGAAACAGAAATATCGCGCCAGGATGCAAAGGAGTTATGTATAACATTTCCGAGAATGGCACCATGTTTTGACGATCAGGGTCAAGATAATGCGTTGAGAAATAAGGTTGCCCGAATTAAAGCTTGTTCTGTTGGGGATAATGAATTTATCACGTTTGATCCACCATCAGTTCATTCTGGTCTTTTTGGTTATCATTTAGTTCCATTGGAATGCGAAACCATCATCTTGACGGAAAATGAATATGATGCGATGACTGTTTACCAAGAAACTCAAATACCTACCTCATGTCTTCCTAACAATGGATACCAATTGCCAATAGAAATTCTTCCCTTGCTGGAAAGATTTTCAAAAATATATATTTGGCTTAATGATGACGTTCAAGGTCAAGATGCAGCAGAAAAATTTGCTCAAAAATTGGGAATTGACAGATGTCTGATTGTAAATACAAGATGCAATAATTTTGATGGACCAATCAATGCAAGCCAAGCTTTAGCCATGGGAAAGAATTTAAATGAAATTTTATCACTAGCCAAACCATTACAACACGAACAAATTTTAAATTTTGACAATCTAAAAGAAGCTGTACACAGAGAAATTATTAACCCAGGTCAAGTTCGCGGAATTTTATCAAAAGATTTGCCCGCATTAACACAAATTTTAAAAGGACATCGACCTGGTGAATTGACAGTTTTTACAGGCCCTACAGGATCTGGTAAAACTACTATTTTGAGTCAACTCTCTCTAGATTATTGTAAATCAGGAGTGAGCACATTATGGGGAAGTTTCGAAATATCTAACGTACGTTTGGCAAAGAAAATGCTAACACAATTTGTTGGTGAAGATTTGTCTAAAAATCCTGGAGAATTCATGAACTGGGCACAAAAATTTCAGCAGGTAAACTTTATGCCAATTCATCTTCTAATTAGATAAATGATAAATTGACTAATATTTGATGAGTATATATGAATATTAGTTGCCAATGTATTTTCTCAAATTTTTTGGTAGCACTGAAGTCTCAACAGTAATAGATGCCATGAATCACGCTATATATGCTTTCGATGTTCAACATATAATTATTGATAATTTGCAATTCATGATCTCAGAACAAGGAAGATTTACAGACAGATGGGAGTTACAAGATCGCACAATTTCTGCTTTCCGTAAATTCGCTACTGAAAAAAATGTTCACATAACAATGGTGGTACATCCAAAGAAGGACAATAGAGAGTTATTAGATATGAGCTCAATATTTGGATCAGCAAAAATTTCTCAGGAAGCAGATAATGTCATTATACTTCAAAAGATAGAGAGTGAAGATGGTGATGAGCGATACTTACACATCAAGAAAAATAGGTTTGCAATAAGCAAAAACAAATTTGCTTATAAGCTTAAAATTAATATAATATTAACTTTGAAATAGGTTTGATGGCACGTTGGGTGCTATTCCAATTGAATTTATACCTGATTCTTTGAAGGTAAGTTACATAAATTTCTTGTACAGTACCAGACAACAAAAAAATCAAAGTGCCAACTTTGAAGACTATATAATCTATTATGATCAGTCAATTTTTTATATAATTAATTTTAACTAGTCAGTGATAGGGATGTTAACGGCTTGACCCGACTTGTATATTTATTATTATAAAAACCGATTAATCAATATAGTCGATTGAATCGTTAGCATCCCTAGTCAATAAATCATAAATAATCTTTCTTTATATATTAAATGTTGAATTTTTAAACACATAACGATAAATTTCAAACTTTTATAACTTTTAAAATTATAGCTTGGACAAAAAGCAAAAATTTGTAAGATTTTTGTTAAAATTATTTATAATACTTTACATATTATATCTAAATATTGGATATTTTCTGTTATCTGGTGCTGTATTTTGAAGTGTATATATATATTTGCACCAAAATTGTTATTTACAATTGATTTGCTCCAGATTCAACAATTAAGAAAGCCAAGATCTCGAGAAGTGGATCGTTCTTTTGCAGGTGAATGTTTGCTCTATTGCTTTAATTAAATTTTGAATTGTAACGTATATTGATGGTTTTTATTGAAAGATAGGCAGATATTCGAAAGATATGGCAGCAATGCCAAAAGCTGGCACTTATGTAAACCTATCGCCAGAACAATTTCAGCATCGTAAAATAATAATGTAATAAATAATCTTTCTAATGGATATACTAATATAATAAATGATATTATCGTTATAAAGATATCGCATAAATAAAAATGTTTATACTTAATATTAAGTAAACCAAGTAATGAAGATTTTTTCTTGTTAATTTTTCAATGTATATTTATTTAAAATCACCGACTAATAATGATAAATTAATTAAACGATACAGATACAAAGAAACTAAATAAAGGGATATGAACTCGAATAGTTTAAATACACCTACGTACTGAAAAAACGATATAACCATGACTTGATTAGCTTATTAAATATACCGAATAATAAAAGATTTCGATATTCACTGAATAAATTAATATGAATAAAATAAAATTAATATATACAGTATATGTATAGTAAATGCAGTAAACTTAATAAAGTACGGTGATAAATTTAATAAAAATAAATTAGACAGTAATAGCAGCTTAAAAATTTCTTTAGCTATAAGTATTGATTTATACTATAATATATGGGCAGCCGTCAATAGAAATCAAGCAAATCTACATTTGAAAAAAATTAATGCCTTAACTTTCACAGCTCATATCTCGATGGATTTTAAAAATATTTTAATAATTTAATATTTAAAATAAAGCGTAAATCCTAAGCTTTATTTTGAATATTAAATCATCAAGATAGCTTAAAATTTTATCGAGATATGAGCTGTGAAAGTTAAGGCATTGATTTTTTTTTCAAATGTAGATTTGCTTGATTTCTATAGACGGCTGCCCATATATATATATATATAAATTATCAAGATTTAGATAATCTGTGTGAAATATAACCACTTTAGCAAGTTTTATATAAAAATAAATTAGTTTAAAAATATAAAAAAGAAATCCAAAACTTTATAAATAGATAATATATATACTGTATACAGTATACTGTATATAATAAAATTAAATTTATACAACTAGAAAAATAAATGCTATTGGCATCCAAAGCTATAACTCCTACAGAATCTTCCGTCCTGTTGGTGTTGGTCTGTTGATATGTTTTTAAACGTTGATTGGCTCAATATCACATGGGCAGAATTTATAACTTGTGTGCTGTATTTACATTTTTATAGTAAATTCTTGCTATGCTTTAGACAATTAGATACAGTAATTAAAAGTTATAATTGCACTTTTATAATATTCTTGTACAGTCGACCCTCCATGTAGTCACCTCCCATATAATCACACCATATGTAATCACATTTTTATTTAGACTAAACTATGATTTAATTTATAAAAAAAAAAAAAACCTCCATATATACAAAACCCCTTTATAAGCACATTTTTTAAAAAAGTTACTACGTGTTCAACTGTGTAATTGTATGGGAGGATGACTGTCTAAATTGTTAAAAGCCTCTAAAGATACAGTATCTATAATTCTTAAGCATAATGCTATAAAAATCCTAATTCTAAGGAATGTGAACTTTTGAACAAAAAAAAAAATTTAATATTAATACTGTAAATTTAAATTTTATTAATAGTATATATATATTAATCTACTGTATTATACTAATTATATATATTTTATATTATGTTTAATATACAATACTATATTGTATGTTATATATAAATATATATAGTATACAGCGTAAACCGGGTGAGTGAAAAGTCCCTATACAGAACCTTTTTTTAATCAATGATATACTTTATTTTTTGTTCATTTTAACGGTTATACCCGTTTGTACACTACGTACATAGATATTAAAAATAATAAAAATTAAATATTAGCGGAGATCTCAAAAAAAGTCCTGTATAGGGACTTCCGGTATAATTTGGTAAAACTTAATTGGCTAGTTTTGTTAACTTTTAAAAAACTTACTGAACGCTCTTTAATCGCAATAATTAGTAGATGCTGCATGCTAGATATCGTATATAAATTACATTAATATGATTCATTATCAACAGCGTACTCAATAGTCTGATCTTCATCAACTAGCTGGTCATCATTATCGTGATCGTCATAAAACTCATTTTCACCCAACATTAAACGCCGCCTAGGTCTAATATCTGGAATTGCATCTTCCTGATAATCTCGCATTTCTTCTTCGGACTCTTCCCACAAATCTTGTAAATCCTTAGAAAATTCATGTAATTGTACACTTGGTGCTCCATCTATTAATCTCAAACGCTCGTGAATTTGTTGTGAAAGTTTTTGTAAATCTGCTTTGGTATTTAGATTTTCGATCCGTCTAACAAGAGGTGGATGTAAAGAATAATCTGGTCCAAAAAAATTATAGAATTGTGCATTTTTAGGCAGCGTTTCCGGTACCTCGGTATCAACTAGTATGCTCGTCTCATAAGCCCAGCATCGCGCAACATTTTCTATTTTATACCCACCACCGCCAAGAACCAGTAAAGGTATTTGCCAATTCTTTACAAAGCGAACACATTCTCCATGAGCTTTAATACTAAGATTAAATCCCCCTAATTTATCTTTTCCAAGTGAATCAGCCCCGGATTGCAGAACAACAGCATTTGGTTGATAACGATCTTTAACGTCCGAAATAACATCCTTAAATAAAACGACATAACTTTCGTCATCCATTCCATCTTTAAGTGGTATATTTAAGCAATACCTTTTTCCTAATCCAATACCAATCTCACCTAGACCTCCAGTTCCCGGAAAATATTTTCCATTTTCTTTATACTTATGAAATGATACGGTCATGCATCGATCTGTTTCGTAAAATGCTTCTTGCACACCATCGCCGTGATGTATATCAATATCAATATATAAGACCCGTGGATAGACCCTTGAAAAATAATTATTAGATCGAATATTATATTGATTAACATAATCCTCATATAATAAATTATTAACGCGACCAACCTCAACAACTGTTGAATAGCCAATACAATGTCGTTTACAAAGCAAAACCCTGAAGCCTCATTGTGCTTGGCATGATGTAATCCACCACTCCAATTAATACATATATCAGTATCTTCACTTGTCAATCGTAACGCTGCAGCTACAGATGCACCAGCATAAATTTGGCAAAAATCGTATAATCCTCTAAATATTGGACAATCTTCGCTGATATTAAATCTGTCAGCGTCAAAGGAATACTGTTCGCTGTTTTCGGGGGTGACACTATATTTTATGAATACATAATAAAATAAATTCAGAATTACGAATTATTAGCTGTTGAAATGGTTAAAACGTGACATTTAAATCAGTTACTTTTTTAAAAACGTTATATAACTGGGAATGTGAAATTCCATCAAATCATAGTCAGTAGCTTTTGGAGGACAAAAAACTCGCATTTTTTCATGTAATCGATAAGCACATACTAAATCGTTGGTGTAAGATAAACGCAGTGGTTTCATCGGATGTTGAACCTATAATATAGTAACATAAGTAAACAAGAAATTTCAAAAATAAACAGAATACAGTCAAAGCCCTTTGCTATCAACCTCATTAGTATCGGCACCCCAATGTTAGTACCTTCACTACGGAACAAATTTCAACTTAGAATTCTTCATATTTTATTTATTAAGTCTTATATTCATATTTAAGGTGTGATAACAAAAGGGTCTGACCGTACTTTTTATGCAGTGACATACTCCAAACTGAAAGTTTCCGATCTCATTATTATGAAAATATGATATTCGTTTTTTGCAATGCGATCGCACGTGGGAAGTGACAGGTTGTGGTCTTAGATTGTAACAACTGCTATCAAAGAAAGTGGATGAATCCATGTTGAGTTAAAAATTTACAAATCCACTAATAATGTAATGTTTGTGTTACCAAGTGCACTTATAAATAGAATTTCCTACGAAGATTATATACTAACGATAAGTATAAAGCTTTTTGAAATGCCAACCGTGATCGTGGCACACTTTAAAACAAATATATACGAGTATCTTGAAGCTTTACAAAAATCTACCCTTGACAAGTTATACGAAGAGCCAGCAACATGCTTGGCCATATTCAGGTTTGTTTTTAGTAGCTTTGGGTACGATCCTAGTAAAGGCGAGTAATAGCTTAACATAGTGTTATATAGCGGTTTTTTTAGATCGAACTTTAGGAGATAAAAAATAAAATAAAATAAAAAAAAAACAAATATTTAATGTTCAAATGATTTTACCATTTGTTAATATAACATAGTCCGAGCTAGTTACACCTGAAGACTACTTACTATTAGCTCAAATGATGTGAACATAAATTCAGATTATTTCTTATTCACTTTAGACAAATGTAGTTAAAAATGTGAGTGCATTATGCTGTTTTGGGATTCTTTTAATAAACGCGTGTTAGATATATATTTCTTGGAATAATACGAATTTCCGATTTTCTATTTTTTAGTAATGTCTATATAATAATATAATTTTCTTGTCTAACAAAAGATTGTACTTGCTATAATAGACTCCTTCCATCATTAGCGAGGCAGTTGGTAATGTCTTTGCTATTTTCCACTCAAATTATGAGTAAGGCTGATTTAAGACAATGTATTAAGAATGACAAAGAATCAATGTCGTATGTAAACCATAATTTATTTACGTTTTACACGTTTATATATCCGTTGGACTTAATAAAACCTTTTGCTATTAAAAAATAATAGGAAATTTGAGGAAGCTTTAGACAAATTACAGAAATTGCATATTATGATTGAACAAGAAAACAAAACAATAGCTTTAAATTCCTCATTTAAGCAAAAATTCCAAGAATGCTTAACCGGAGGGTAATTATATATATTAATTTAAACTTATTAAAAATTTGGGTTCAACTGACGACATATGATTTTTATCAGTGGAACACACCAAAGCTTTGGAAGACTGTATAATAAACATAGTCAAAGTAATTCACATAAGCTACCAGATATTAAATTATTAGATGAACATGCAAAGACAAAATGGGAAGAGATTTTACATTTCATGGTCGGGACTGATCGGATGAATTCACCAGGAGCTTCTGTATTAAAAGTTGTTACTAAAGCTAATTTGATGAGAGAAAAGGAGGGGTAATCATCATTGCATTCATTTGTTTATGAGAAGTTTAAAATCTTTTTTTGTTCATAATCCATAACTATATTAATTGAAATTGCTTAGGAAAGGCCTAGAAATAACAAATAAAGGGTTTCAATTTTTGTTACAAGATGTTAATACACAAGTATGGGCTTTTTTAATTCAATATTTAGATCTAGCTAGTGAGGTAATTTCAATTTTTGTTATTAATATTTTACCAAATTAATATGAAGGTAGCTAATTTTGTCAAGTTCAATGGTTAGATGTTACATATGAATGTTGTTGAAGTATTGAATTTTTTTTTCATGCTAGGAAGTCTGGAATTAGGGCAGGTAATGAACAATTTGCCTTGATATTTTAATATTACTTTAGATACAAAAAAGTTTAAACCCAAATTTTAATTTATTCAGCCTTTTATCCTGTTTTTACAATAAATAGGATTATTCAGTTGAGGGATTAACAGATACGCAACGACAACTACTTGATGACTTAACAAACTATGGACTTATCTATAGACAAAAAGTAAAGAACTTTGATAATTAAATTGTGCAAATATTATAATATTTTTCCCTTTGGTGTGAATAGAGTAAACATAGCTCATATTTTGAATTTTCATGATGGATTTATATTTTTACAAAAATGAATAGAAAAGCTCAAAAAGATATTTTCCGACACGTCTTGCTACCACATTAACGTCAGGAAACTCGGCCATTGTATCAAATGCCGCGTCTAGTAACCTTACAGATGATGATGATAGTGCCACAGAACAAGGATTTATTATTGTCGAAACCAATTATAAACTATATGCCTATACAAGTAATTAAATGAATTTTTGTTGTATTTTTAACGTAATTAATGTTATTACACATACAACCTTTTTTTTTTTTTTTTTTTTTTTTTTTTTTTTGCATTAACGATAGATTCACAATTACAAATTTCGGTATTGAATTTATTTTGTAATCTTCAGTATCAATTTTCTAATATGGTGACTGCGGAAATAACTCGAGAGAGTGTGAGAAAAGCATTGAAGCATGGTATTACCGCAAGCCAAGTACGTTTAATTTTCAAGGAATACGTAATCACATCTCTGTGAACGAACCCTAATTAATTATATGTATCGTTAAAAAGATTATATCGTATTTAACATCACATGCTCATCCACAAATGAAAAAACGACCAGCCTTGCTACCGTCAACTGTAGTTGACCAAATTCAATTATGGGAGATGGAACTCAATCGATTGGTCATTACTAATTGTATGTTAGAGGATATTTACTTTAATTATTATATTTCTGCTTACTAACAGTGTTTTCTAATATATATTAGGCTACTTGTATAAAGAGTTTCGTACATTTGCCGACTATGAAGTTGTTTTAAAACATGCAAACACTTTAGGAGTAGTAGTTTGGTCAAGTGATTCGAAAAGAATGATCGGAATCGCCGAAGCGGGTCATGAGCGTGTAAAGGCTTTTATTAAAAGAAAGATTGTACAAAGAAGAAGTAATGGGGGTGATACAACTAGTAGCGCTAGTGGTACTCCTGCAAGATAATATCCATTTTATTAGAACTTTCACCAGATATCATATGACTATGAATTATTCGTTATCCGTACTTCATTTATGAATTAGCATATAGATTAGAGTGAAGTTATCGGATGAAAGCTCTATAAAGAGCAATTTTAATTTGTGTATTCAATAAATGCTTATATTGCAAATGTGATTTAAAATTATGGCCAATACGTTAGCAAATTGTATGTAGTAAAGGTCAGCATGAATTTTAAATCACCTATATACAATAATTTGGCATGGATGTTCTCATAAGAGGATAATTTTGTTGTATTAATTTACAAAGTAAAAAAAATATATCTAATTGTAAATTAATTTCAATATAACTTTGTTACAATTCAATCATCTCGATAAGAAAATATAATAATTCTGATAACTAAAAATGATATATAATCTATTGTTTTTTTTTTTAAATAATTTTGACTAACAATTCTGGAGTGATTAAGATGCACTTTTTACATTTTCCTTGTTATAAAAATTTATTACGCAAAATTTATAAATTCAGATTTCCAAATTATTTTTACTATTAATCTGGTGAACAATTTTTCAGTGATACAAAAAATCTTAAGATTTTTATTAATTAAAATAATAAACTCGTCTGCCTTACCTTTCAAAATCATGGATTATTTAAATTTTTCCTCAATATTAAATAATTTCTTAATTTTTATTTGGAAGATGAATCCTTAAATGTGTATTTATAACAATATCTAGGCCATATTCATAATATAAAATTTTAAAAGTGACCGCAACCCGACTTTTAATTTTATTTCAAAATATTTTATGTATAAAAAAACATATAAAATTTTTTATAAATTTTTTCCGAATAATAAATATATTTAAAAGTTATGTAAATTTTGAGTTATGAAAACCGATTCATTAAGTTTACATGGCCTTATCGTGACAAATAATAATAGTTTGTAATAGCTTGTATAGGTACAAGACTACAAAAGTAGTAGAATTTAATTGTTTATAGAATTTCTTCGTCTAAATTATAAAATATAAATTACGAAGATTGTTAATTTTGAGGTAATACAATTAAAAGTGTCAGAGATGTTTAATTAATAACATTAAAACGATAACTTTATTTAAACTTTCTAAAATAAATTTATTGACAGATTTCGATGGATGGTTTTGACCGGATACGATAATCTGGATAGTTTGACGGATTTTAAAAAAAAAGTCGGATATCCGCTAGATCCAAGCACTAATGTGTACCAAACTTAAGTTCTCCATGAATTCCTTCAGTTAATTTAGGGGTTATTAAAGGATGAAGTTGAGCTAAATAGGTAATTGCCCACCTTTTTTTTTCGCAAATAAAAATTAATTTTAATTTTAAAATCATTAATTTTTTTAATGAGAATAAAATAGAAATAACATACATCAAATAACAACAAACGATTGTTAAAATAAGCGAAGTCCGTATAGTTCTAATTTTAAGATAGGTTGAGTTTATCGTAAATATTATGAAATAATAAAATAAAAACCATAAAAATAATTATCACCCGAAGGGTGTTTTATTGAGCTAGAGTTCTTGAACTATTACTTACGTCTGATTTGGTCCTTTTGGAATAGAAATATAACAAAGCGCAATAAAAATTGAAGCACCAAATCCTATCATTATAATGTTCCAACCTCCCATTTCGACTAAGAATTTGTCAGACTTTTAAAGATTATATTACAAACCCGAATTTATCTTGGCGAAAGGGTCTTTGGGTTACTTATTTAATTAGATATGTATGTTTATAGGTCAAGCCTGATTTTACATAGTAACGTTACACGAAAATTTGTATACTTACTTTTGAACCGTTGTTGTACCCCAGATGCGAATTTGCCCAATTGTTAATCGGGATGGCCCAGATTATAATTTGATTTTGGGCTATCGAT